CAGAGATGAAGAAACAGAACATAACTAGCATTCTAGAAGCCTAGTTTACGTCCCTTCCTGGTATATCCACATCGCCACCTGCCCAAAATAACTGCTAACCTAACTTCTAATACCATAGATGAATTTTGCCACAAATGAAATGATACGGTATATGATCTACTTCCAAAAAAATCTACCATTGAAAACCCTGTGGATCATCCAATCCTGTTGTGCGTAGAGTCGCCATCAGTCGGGGACCAAGTTGAGAGCAGCTGACAACTTTTGTATCAGGCTGCTTTCACTCATATTTGTAGGATTCATATATGTTGTTGCATTCATGTATGTTTGGTTCATTCATTAAGATTGCAAATGGTATTTCATCGAATATTTACACTTGAATTTGTTAACAGTTTCATTGAGATATAATTTATGTACTATTTAAAGTGATTGGAAACCTTAGTGGCATAGTGTTTGAGAGTTATGGCTGCTAACTAAAAGGTCGGCAGTTCGAATCCACCAGGCGCTCCTTGGAAACCCTACGGGGCAGTTTTACTCTATCCTATAGGGTCGTTATGAGTTGGAATAGACTCGATGGCATTGGGTTTTTTTTTGTTTGTTTGTTTATTTAAAGTGATTAACTCTGTTTCTTTAGTATATTTACAGGTTGTGCAACCATTACTATGATCTAATTTTAGAACACTTTGCCCCCCTCTAAAACCATACACCCATTAGCAGTCACTACCTACTCCCCCTCCCAGTTGCTAAGCAGCTACTTATTTACTTTCTGTCTCTAAATTTGCAAATTCTGGATATTTCATACAAGTGCAATCATATAATATATGGTCTTTTGTGACTGGCTTGTTTTACTTAGCGTAATGTTTTCAAGTTTCACCCATGTTGTAACATGTGTGAGTACTTCTTATTGCAAAATAGTATTTCATTGAACGCATACACCCAATTTTATTTATCCATTCGGTCAGTTGATGGCCATTTGTGTTCCACTTCAAGGCTATTTTGACTAATGCTGCTATGACCATTCCTATACAGATTTTTTGTGTGGGTGTATGTTTTCATTTCTCTTGGGGATGGCAAGACTTCCTCTAAAGTACTTTGGACATGTTGTCAGGAGGGACCAGTTGCTGGAGAAGGACATCATGCTTGGTAAAGTAGAGGGTCAAAGAGAAAAAGGAAGACCCTTGACAAGATAGATTGACACAGTGGCTGCAACAATGGGTTCAAACATAATGCTTGTAAGTAAAGATGGTGCAGGACTGGGCAGTGTTTCATTCTGTTGTACATAGGGTCACTGTGAGTTGGAACTGACTTGATGGCACCTAACAACAACAACAACATTCAGTCTGTATGCTGAGTAAATAATCTGAGAAACTGGACTTTATGAAGAAGAGTGTAGCATCAAGATTGGAGGAGGACTCATTATCAACCTGCAATATGCAGATGACACAAACTTCCTTGCTGAAAGCGAAGAGGACTTGAAGCACTTACTGATGAAGATCGAAGACTGCAGCCTTCAGTATGGATTACACCTCAACATAAAACAAAAATCCTCACAACTGGACCAATAAGCAACATCATGATAAATGGAGAGAAGATTGAAGTTGTCAAGGATTTCATTTACTTGGATCCACAATCAACACCCATGGAAGCAGTAGTCAAGAAATCAAACGATGTATTGCATAGAGCAAATCTGCTGCAAAAGACTTCTTTAAAGTGTTGAAAAGCAAAGATATCATTTTGAGGAGTAAGGAACACCTGGCCCAAATCATGGTATTTTCAGTTGCCTCATATGCATGCGAAAGCTAGACAATAAATAAGAAAGACCAGATTGATGCCTTTGAATTATGATGTTGGCAAAGAATATTGAATATACCATGGACTGCCAGAAGAACAAACAAATTTGTCTTGGAAGTACAGCCAGTGTGCTCCTTGGAAGTGAGGATGGCAAGACTTCATCTCATGTACTTTGGACATGTTATCAGGAGGGACCAGTCCCTGGAGAAGGACATCATGCTTAGCAAAGTAGAGGGTCAGCGAAAAGGAGGAATGCCCTCAACAAGACTGATTAACATAGCTGCAACAATGGGCCCAAACATAGCAATGATTGTGAGGGTGGTGCAGGACTGGGCAGTGTTTCATTCTGTTGTACATAGGATCGCTATGAGTTGGAACTGACTCAGTGGCACCTAACAGCAGGCAACAATCCAGCTCTTTTCTTTCACTGTATTATTTATGTAGCTTTCTAGAGATTGTTTTTTAAAACATGGGTTATATTTCAAAGTAGGTTTTTGGAATTTTTTTTATTAAACAGAAAACATGTTTTAGTGTAATTACATGCCCTGAGTCTTCTTTAAAAAGTTTGTTCCATAGTGTACCTCATGACATACTTTGTTTTCCATGGAAAATAATAGAATAATTTTTGTTCTAGTAGTTAAACAATTGAAAGAATATTTCCAAAGATAGGTGGAGACATTTAATACTTTTAAGAGACTCTGAACATTGATTCATTCTTTTAATTCACTTGTTGCTTTTTCTTCTTATGGATATGTATCATAGTACATTTTTTTTAAATTAATTTCCCATTTGATAGTTTGTACATAAAGTATTCCGTGACGTTGGTTTCATTCCACACAATATGTCAGCACTCTCCCTAGTTCCATCCTAGGTTCCCTGTTTCCTTTCATCGTGATTTTCTACCCTTTCCTGCTTTCTCATCTTTGCTTTTGGGCAGATATTGCCCTTTTGATCTTGGATAATTGATTGTTCTAAGAAGCACATTCCTCTCGAGTGTTGTTTATTTTATGAGCCGTCTGTGTCATAGTACAATTCCTAATCACCAAAATAAAGATCCCTACTTTTAGGGATCTGTAATTGTGCATAAAGAAAATTGAAGGGACACAGGAAAATATGTCATGATTAATCTTGCAGAAGTTGGGTGGGGAGGAGATTAAACAGTTTTCTCTAGAATGTGAGAATGCTTGTCTGAACCTCAGTAATCTAAAGTAGTTGGAAAAAAAAGAAAGAAATGGGGTAGTAGGAGGATATGGAATGTTGTGGTTTATTGCCTCCATGAACAATTGCCTCCTTTGCCATGAGACCAGAACTGGATGATGTGTGGCTACCATTACTGAACATTTTGATCAAAGAGTCCATAGACGAATCCTGATCAAAAGGGGAGAAATGTAGAACAGAATTTCGAATTCTCATGGACTTTTTGGAGGGCATGGAGTGTGGATGAACTCCTGAAAACTATTGCCCTGAGATAATCTCTAAACCTTAAACCAAAAATATCCCCTGAAATCATCTTAAAACCAAAAGTAGTTTAGCTCAGCTAGTAAAAAAGGGTCTGCCTTTCGTATTATGCTTTGTTAAGAACAATCTGTATGGGATCAAATTGACAACAGCAACTTGAAAGATTAGGTAGGAACCCTAGGTGGCAGTGAGTTTATGTTAATGAGGAACAACTGAAAAAGAGGGTGAGAATGGTTATACAACTTTAAGAATATCAGTGTCACTAAATTATACAGGTACAAACTGTTGAACTGGTGTCTGTTTTGCTGTGTAGATTCTCAACAACAACCAAATAAAGAAGTGGTCTGTGGGGGGGACCCTACCTAACACATTGCCATTGAGTTTAATCTGAATCATAGCCACCCTAAAAGACAGAGTAGAACTGCCCCATAGGGTTTCTGCCACATCTTTCTCAGAGCCACTGGTGGGTTTGAACCACTGACCTTTCGGTTAGCATCTGAGCACTTAACCACTGCGCCAACAGGGCTCCTTGTGGGGGAGGGCACATGGAAGGAAATATGGAGAATGGTAAGTACAGAACAGAAGTAGTAAGAGATTTTGGATTAAGCATTTTACCTGTGGTAGACAGTGGGAGGATTCAGGTGAGCAGAGTTGGGAAGTGCTTTCATGTGTACTGGGCATTCACAAATTAAGTCGTGATGAATGCCGGTACTTTACTATATCCAGTATCACTCAAGCATCATTCTAAGCATGTAGTAGTAAATGGTCAGTAAGTCACTAATAGGAAAAGCATCAGCTGTGTAAGCTAATTTTAACATAGAAGTAAACTAATTCAGTTTGGAAATGTTAAGTGCACCTTCTCTCAACTGCCTAGCTATGTTTGGTAAGGGGTAAAGCAAGTGTTAGGTTTAACATAAGAATGAACGAAAGCTCTTCTAAATGAGAGGAAGCTGCAGCGAAAACGGCTTCTTCCCAAGCATTTTGGGCCATAACTTGTCTTTTGCTAGTGTATCAGGGGAGTACTGAATTGGAACTGGTTAATGAGAGGAGAGAGGTATAATTTCATAGTCTTAAAATTTGCTCTTTCTCACAAAGCAGTAGTTATTTTCTAAATACCATGAGTCTTATGTTAACGGGGAAAACAAAAATGTGCAAATTAGTTTACTATGAGGAATAGAATGATTATTTGAAGATTCAGAAGTGCAGCAATATTAGGAAAGACCTAAGACTTTGTGACATTTAAGCATAATTTGGGTATGTAGTTGGGCAATGGATCATAGACTTGGTGTCTCACATTTTTTGCAAATCAGTTTTTGCAAAATTTTATTCTCACAGTCTTGAGCAATAGATTAGATTCTATTGTCTTTACTTACATATTTTAAAATATTTCTCTAAGTCACACAGTATGTAAAATCCAAATCCAGCCCCCCTGGCTTCACACTGTCCTGTTTCACTACCCTGTGCTGTCCACAAATAGTTAAGACATACTATCCAGTGCTTACTCCTGTCTTCAGATTATCATATCCTTCCTGTTAAGGGTATATAAAGGTAAGCATTCCTTAGGTTATGAGCTGTTATATTTAAACTTGTACTATTGTTTTTAAAATAACTAGTTTTTCCTTAACTGAAGTTGGGAAGTTAGGTGTGTGTCAAATGGTCAAAAAAAAAAAAAAAAAAAAACTGTATGTAATGGAGTATAGTGTTGCTGTTTTGCAGTAATATAATGGAATGTCTTTTCCATTTCTGTTTCCTAGGTTCTCTGCTTTTAGAGTCCAAAATCAATCCTAACACTGCATACCAGAAACAACAGGTAAAATTTTGAAGGTGTTATGTTTTATCTTGCATATTAATCTCTCAATTTCGTGACTAAATGAAAATTTCCCATATGATTCCTTACAATGAAAAATTCAAAACAGATTACAGCATACTTTGACAGTCTGATTCTAAAGTAGAATTTCTGCCAGTTTCTATAGTGTATATGTCAGTCATTTTAACATTAGAAATCTTGCCTCAAATTAAACTGAGTTTTTACTCTAGCAACTGAGCCTTAATTCTCAGATGTTAAAATGAAAACAACAGTTTCCTTGTTCCTACCTTAAAAAAAAAAAAGTGACCATGGATGTGATAATCAGCTGGTAACACAACTAAATGGTGGGAACTCCTTTGGTGTGGTAGGTGCGGAAGAAACATTAGTTATCTCCCTAAATGCAACCAAGTGTAGATAGAAATCTGGATTCTTCCATAGCCTGAATATAGCCGCCTTTTGATGTTACAGTTTTTAAAGGTAACTTTCAATTTGAGTTCGCCTTCTTTCTCGTATCCTTTTGATGTGCGAGAGATAACTGAAATTAAATCTTTCTCTCTCTTAGTACCTACTAGCAATAACACCAAACGATATTTAATGCGCGGAAACACACACACACACACACACACAGATAAATATACTGAGTGCTCTACAAAGCCAGTGAAATAAATATGATCCCCTCATTGCCAGGAAGTTGCAGATCTGAAATAATTCAGACAAAAGAATATTTCCAATCCATTCATAAATCATGCCTCTGGAGACAAATTATAAAATGTTTTGCTTCATCATTGACTGTTAAAATACTACTAAAAGGAAGTTAGTCTGTCAGCTTTATTTTCCACATTAGGTGGTATCTGAGCATTGTGACTTGGTTGAGTTACAGATAGTAGATAGGAAAAGCTGGTATTAACTCCTGTATTTACTTAATGGTGATTTATTTGCCCACCAAAGATTGGTACAATATAAAATTTTGATCGTTTGTTAAATTTTGTTGCATTTAGCATTCTTAAGAAAACTTTTAGGTTTGATTGAAATGGATGGAGACTAGAATATTGTTCTGTGCTTATATTAAATTTTAGAGTTTCAATCAGCTGAAGAGTAGAAGTACATCCTAAGAAAAAGGAAACGTTGAATCTTTTGAGAGTGGATGATCAGATCCATGTCTCAGCCTGTAAGTTGTTAGGTGATAAACAAGCAAGATGATTTGGTAAAATTAGGCTCTTCAAGGAAAACAGAAGAACAATTCTTAGGAAATTTCAAAGTGCTAGATTTGTCAAATCAGTAATTAAGGAAGTATATCTGGCTATGTCCAGATTTAAGCATCAACCTCCAAATCATTCTGAGTATACGTTGTAGTAGAGCATTTGCTTACGGTTTTATTAAATCTTTTATTACTAATGTGATACTGGTTTTAGCCTTGTTATGATGGTATTTGTTGAGCTGATAAATACAAGTATTTGTGAGAATTTCAGGAATCATCTCATTTGGATACGCTCCCCCTCCCAAAGGTGACTGTTATTTGACCCAATCCTGTTCCCATCACTAAGAAATGGTACTTACATTATCACTAATTTTCATAACTGTACTCATCATTTCCATTCTAAAGATAAGGAAATGAAGGCTCAGAGAGGTTAAGTAACTTTCTTAGCATCACCCACCAAGTAAATGGTGGTATTAGAATTCATACCTCAGTCTCTCTGACTCTTGAATCCATTACTGTTTTCATTCTATATTGTTTTGGAGGGAAAATAACATAATTTAAATTTTTCCTCACATGGAGCCTTATACATAAGTGCTTAGTAAATATCTGCTGAATAAATAACCTTGTGAAGTATTTAGGCTTCAGAAACTACAGATTAATTCTAAATTCTTGGACCAGTTGAGTTGTTCTACTTTTGGTGAATTATAAGGTAAACTAAAAATGAAGCCTGGTTGATTTCTGGGGTGTTGATCTCAGAATGTTACTGTAAATTACCCTGACCTTAAATAGCTACTCGGTCACTGTAGAACAGATTCACTGCAAGATCTCTGATCTCTAGAAGTCCTTGATGATAGCAGAAGGGTCTTTGAGCTATTTTGGAAAATTCTGAATAAAAACCGTGGATTTATCCTATTAGTAATGCTGCACAGCCTTATCAGATGATCATTTATTTACTTCTTGCTGGCATCACTTTAACTTACTGAGACTATTGGTTTTGTGATTGACAGTTTAATAAATAACAGAATAAAGTTAATATGCAGCTTAGCAGATAAATTTTTAAACATGGAATCAATTTGTGTACACTGATGTGTCCTTGATAGTGAAAAGGATTAGAAACTGCTGCTGTAGAATCATAGATCCTTTAAGGTACCTTGTAGATAATTTGGGAACATTGGTGGTTTAGTGGTAGAATTCTCACCTTCCATGCAGAAAACCTGGGTTTAATTCCTAGCCATTGATCTTATGTACAACCACCACCCATCTGTCAGTGGAGGCTTGCATTTGCTATGATGCTGAACAGGTTTCAGCAGTTTCCAAACTGAGATGAACTAGGAAGAAAGGCCTGGAGATCTCCTTCCAAAAATCAGCCAGTGAAAACCCTGTGAATCACAAAGGTCTGATCTGCACCAATCAACAACATAACTACTAGTAGCGACCCTATAGGACAGATCAGAACTGCCCTATAGGGTTTCCAAGGCTGTAATCTTTACAGAGGCAGACTGCCACATCTTTCTCCTGTGGAGTGGCTGGTGGGTTGGAACTGCTGACCTTAACTACTGCACCACCAGGGCTCCTTAGCAACAACCTAATCTAATACAAGAACCTTTAACATTCTGGTAGGCACTCAGCCACCCTTTGCATGGCTACTTTCAGATTAGTCAGATTTAATGATTTTTCCTTTCTGTTATACTCAGATCCATCTCACTGTAATTTCTACTCACTCTCCTAATTCTCTTTGGACCAGCTTAGAAAAATGATGCCCAGCAGCCCTTTAGATTTTGAAGATAGCCATTATGTGTCCCATTAGGCTTCATTTTTAAACTGAACTCTTCTTAACTATTCAGTATTTTATATGTAAAATGGTTATTGACCTCTCTCACGAGTCCCTTTTTTTGAATGGTTGATTACTGTGAAACTGCATATGTTTATTTACAGTCCGTAAGTTTGAAAGGATATCATAGACCCTGTAAATATTTTTATTATGCCATGCATATTGTAGAATACAAACTGTTTGAATCATGGGGAATGTAAGATGGTCTCAAGGAGCCCTGGTGGCACAATGGTTAAGTGTTTGGCTATTGACCAAAAGGTTGGTGGTTTGAAACACCCAGCAGCTCCGTGGGAGAAAGACCTGGCAATCTACTCCTGTAAAGATTACAGCCTAGAAAACCCTATGGGGGCAGTTCTACTCTGTCACAGCACCTAACAACAATAAGATGGCCTCAGTACTCTTTAAGTACAGCATCTTGCTGAGATTACGTCTTAGTAATAATAACTGTTGAGCTGTTTATTAAATGATCGTTAAAACTCTGTATGAACTTTAGGAGTGAAGGGGTAGGTGCTAGGAGTTTGTTGCTTCTTAAACCACGACACTTTGATGAAAGTTTAAAAACCTCTGTCCAGATAAATGCTCACATATTACAAATTTGGCCAGTAATGTCAAGGGCTTCATAGACTTCATATGCCCCATTAGAACACCTGATGTTGACAATAAAAGGAAGAGAGAAGAAGGAGCTTTGCTTATTAATCCCATCCTTCTAACATGCCCTAGCTGCTGTATGCTCAAACTTATTCTTTCGGCATTTTGACTAGAGCATAAAAATGTAACAATGTACAGGGATAGGATTGGTACAATGTTTAGTTTGTATTTTTAGTACAGAAAAATTATGTATGCGTTTTGTAGTACTTTTTTATATATTGGTTAAACTTCTCAAGGAAAACATTGTTTTCATTTTATAAATGGGATACAGTGAAATGTAAAAAGACATGGGTAATTACGAATATCAGTATTGTAGAAAGTAAAAATGAGTGCTGGTCTCAGTTGTTGCCGTGTTCATTTGCCTTGTACTTTGAAGTGGTTTGTAATAATGCATGTTAATCATTGAGACTCTTTTTTTTTCTTCCAAGGATACTTTGATTGTGTGGTCTGAAGCAGAAAACTATGACTTGGCGCTTAGCTTTCAAGAGAAAGCTGGATGTGATGAAATTTGGGAAAAAATATGTCAGGTAATTTTGTAAAAATAAAAAGTCAACATGTGCTGTTTAAGTATTTTGTTGTTTGCTCTGCTTTTAACTAATGCCAGCATTTTAAATAAACAGAGCAAGCACTTCATATAGTTAATCTTTTGAATTCACTGCTTTTGGCGAAAAGCTTGATATAGGAAGGTGTAATTTATCAACACTAAACTATCCAGCCCAGACCTTTGCTGAACTCCAGAATTTTATATACAACTGCCTTCTCGGAAGTTTTTCTTAATGTGTGTTCATATCATTTCAGTGTTTTGTTTTTTAATAGCATTTTATTGTGTTTTTGGTAGAAGCTTACACAGCAAAATTAGGTTCCTGTTTGACAGTTCCAACAAATTGTTCAGTGGACATAAGGTATGGCATTTCAGTCTTAATAGTCCAAAACTGTACTTAATATTCTCACCTGGATCTGTTTGTTCACCACTCCATTCTCCTTCATCTCAGTAAATGCCATCCAGGTTCTGAAACCAGAAACTTGGAGGTCATCTTATCCTTCCCTCATATCTGTTCAGTCCCTCAGTGATAAATCTTAGATCCATTCACATATCTTCATTTTCACTGCTCTCATGGTCATTTCTTGCCTGGTTTATTGCTTTTATCTTGGCCAGTCTTCTCGAATCCATGCAGCTGCTAGAGTGATCTTTTTTTTAAAGTACAAGTTTGATCACATCACGCCTGTTAAGTAACATTTTGTGGCTCTTAAATAAAACCAAACCTCCATAAGGCCTTGAGCGATATGGCTCTTGACTATCTCTTCAACCTCATTTTCCTCTCAGCTTGAATGTTCCCAGCTGATCCTGGAATTTTCCTCATTTTTTATGTGCTCCAATGACTGAAACCATTGCTTCTTGGGATGAACTCATTTAGGACATAGCTCCCTAGGAAAAGTTTGTCCACGGCCACATTTATTTTAGATGGAGAATAATCTTCAGCAGATTCTTTAATTCAGTGGTTCTATCTAAAGTGTGGTCCTCAAACAAGCAGCATGAGCACTGTCTGGGAACTTGACAGAAATGTAAATTCTGAGGACCACCCCCCTCCCCCCATCCCAGACCTACTGAATCAGAAACTCTGGGAGGTGAGCACCCAGTAATGTTTGTAAAAATGTTATTGTAAAATATAACTAAATGTTTTGACATTTTAACCATTTTTAAGTGTACAGTTCAGTGACATTAACTCATCATGTTGTACTACTGTCACCACTATTCATTTCCAAAAGTTGAAGCCAGTAATTACGTTTTAATAAGCCATCTAGGTCAGACTTTTTCTGTTAAGGGTCAGATAGTAGATGTTTTAAGCTTCATGAGCCTTGTAATCTCACACCTACTCTCTGCTGTTGTAACGTGAAAATAGCCATAGACTCACATAAAAATGAGTGTGGCAATAAAACTTTATTTACAAAAACAGGCAGCAGGCCAGATTTGGCTATAGCTTGTTGGCCTCTACTTTAGGTCATTCTGATGCACGATGAAATTTGAAAGCCACTGCCTTTAATAGAAACTATTATAGTGTCCTTGAGGCACAGTTTTTTCTTCACTTGCAGATATTTTTTTTGCTGTGTCTTCTACCCAGCTGTGTTTCTTACCTGCCTGTCAAGCTGTCCCTTTTTCTAACACATGCAGAGCTAACACTGTTTTATCTGATACCTCCTTTCTTTCGCTTTTTCTTTGCTTTCTAGCCCATACAATTATTTTTTTAGTGTATTCCTCTAGATTTTGTCCTGTGGAGTTCTCCCATAGAAAGAGAAATGATATTAATGAGTTCAGGGTATGCTAAAAGCATCCACTCAGATGAATCTTGTTCTCCTTTGCCTTTGCTTTTTCTTTGCTTTCTAGCCCATACAATTATTTTTTTAGTGGATTCCTCTAGATTTTGTCCTGTGGAGTTCTCCCATAGAAAAAGAAATGATATTAATGTGTTCAGGGTATGCTAAAAGCATCCACTCAAATGAATCTTGTTCTCCTTTGCCTTTTGAGTTGGACAAGCCCACCATGGACACAGTCCTCTAATCAGCTGATGTCTCACCCAAACCTGGACTCAATCTGTTACTACCTTACCTGGCACCCTTTTAATATTGTCTTATCTTTACTATACCTTTCCTTAGTCTTTAATGCCATAAGTTTTTCACTCACCTTTACTTGGGGCGCATGAATCAACCGGCTATTTTATGTTCTTTTCTGGTCTTCGCCTTCAACTTTGATATAGTTAATGTTCAAGGTGTCATTTGTCAGTCACTCTTTTATGGATTCTATCTGTACTTGTCAATCATTTTCTAGATCCTGGGTCATTCTATGGAAGCCATTCCATTTTGCTTTCTTGAGATCTTAAATTTTTCTCTATTTCTTGAACCCTAGGCACCATTTTTTTTTTTTTTTGATCTAGAAACAACTAAAAATCTCTCTCTATTTTCTGGTACCCTCTTTGATAGCAGTTATGTCTGAGTGCATCTTTTTTTTTTTTCCTTTTTAATATGTCTTTCTTGACCTTCACATTCTCATTTTCTTCATGTCTAGCCTGATTTCTTAAGTCTCTTCCTTTCTCTTAAAGAGAGCTCTTTCATCTAGCTTAATTAAGTCTGCATTCCTTTATTTCGTGTTCATTCTTCCATTACTCTTGCTCTAATATTAAAACCAAAGCGTATTTGTTAAATTGTCACAGTTCTGTCATAATTCCTTTAGCAGATCAAATCTTAAGAGTATTCTAAAGACAGGCTTTTTTTTATTACCTTCTTAGCCTTCAAGTTGGCAAAAATGTGATTGAGTTGTTTCTTTATATTAATTCAAGTAGGTGGCATATTCTCATTTTAATAAAACCTTTTCATTTGGCTTATTTATAAGGTAAACCCATAGCTTAGGTATTAGGAATCTAAAGCTATGTAATGAGAGCTTATGTAATTAACAAATCCAGGGCCAACTTGAGACCATGCTGAGTACAAGCTGTGAGTGTGCCCGGCCTCCTTTTAGTGCTGCTGCCCACTGGGTTAAGGTCAAGACCATATTATCTTGCAGCATACTTCAAGACAAATATTTCAGACCCTCTTCCCTTCCTATATTCACCAACAGTATCTCTTAACCATGCTAGCCAGTTTAAGTTCCTTGGATATTTCATGTAAGGCCGAATTTCCCTATCCCTTCACCATTCTGCATGGCCTGTTGGACTGCTTTAGTGGTCAGTGTCTCAAATTGTAGGGCCAAGATAGCAAAACTTGTGCCATTTCAAAATCCGTCCTTGACCTTTCATAAAAATATGCTTTTACCTTACAATATATTTAATTGTTGAGACTTCTAAGTTTTTTTATATTTGGAGTCCTTACACTGGCATAAAGTTGGAGTGATAGATTTCTTAGGGTTTCTGGAGGACTGTGGAGGTTACAGATTTAGGTGTGTAGAAAGGAAAACTGTTCATGGTTAGGTTACTTAACATTCAGCAGATACTCTTGGCATAGCTCTACTACGTACAGGTTGCACTTTTATTGTACTTTAGATGCAGGTTTACAGAACAAATAGTTTCTCATTAAACAGTACACATATTGTTTTATGACATTGGTTAACAACCCCACGACATGTCAACACTCTCCCTTCTCAACCTTGGAGGACTTTTTTTTTTGGTGAAAATATACATAGCCAAAGTTACACCATCTCAAAAGTTTCTACATGCACAATTTAGTGACATCGATTACATTCTTCCAGTTGTACTGCTGTTCTCACTATCCTTTCCCAAATTATTCCGTCACCATTATCTTCAACTCACTTCGCAGGTTGCACTTACTTTATATATGGCCTCATTTGTCTATAACTGTACTTGTTGTCTACCCTACTTTGCCTAATCACATTTTTGGACTATCATCCAGAATTGGAATGATCCACTTGGTCTAAAACTAGTTTGTACATGCTCTTTGGCTCTTGGTTTCTAGAATCAATTGATGTTAAATATATTTCTTGTTGCTTATCATTATATATACTTTCCTATTCTCACAGCATTATATTCAGTATTCATTTGAATTTTACTTAAAGTGAAACATTGAAGATCCTGATGGTGGCTTTCTGGAGCAAAATCCTAGGGAATATTTCTGAGGCTCACCCTGGACTATTGAGAAAGAGGGCTATGGATATAAGATGTGAATGGATGTTGTAGCATCAGGTTTCTGCACAGGGCTTTTCATCCTAATCACAGATGCTTTAGCCTATCCCAGAATGTTTTTGTTACTGGCAAGCCTTGTTCTTTATGAGGAAACTCATTTCATCTCTGAACTTTGGACTTCTTCCTTAAAAGTGAATGTGTATGTTACTTGTAGAAATGTAATTTAGGGAAGAAGGCATTTATGTCAAGTTTGAAGAAACATTGCAAAACTTGAAAATTATCATTATAGCTTTCTTATAACACCTCGAGTTCATCTGAGAATATCGTTGAGATCTGCTGGTTTATATTTTGTCAGCTATCATAAATCCTTTTTAATAGGTTCAAGGAAAGGACCCTTCAGTGGACATCACTCAGGACCTTGTGGATGAATCTGAAGAGGAGCGTTTTGATGATATGTCATCACCAGGATTAGAATTGCCATCTTGTGAATTAAGTCGCCTCGAAGAAATTGCAGAACTTGTGGCATCATCTTTACCTTCCCCCCTTCGTCGTGAAAAACTTGCACTAGCACTGGAAAATGAGGGTTATATTAAAAAGCTCTTAGAGCTTTTTCATGTGTGTGAGGATTTGGAAAATATTGAAGGACTGCACCACTTGTATGAAATTATCAAAGGCATCTTCCTCTTGAATCGAACTGCTCTTTTTGAAGTTATGTTCTCTGAGGAGTGTATAATGGACGTCATTGGATGCTTAGAATATGATCCTGCTTTATCGCAACCACGAAAACACAGGGAATTTCTAACAAAAACAGCCAAGTTTAAAGAAGTGATTCCCATATCAGATCCTGAGCTAAAACAAAAAATTCATCAGACATACAGAGTTCAGTATATACAAGATATGGTTCTACCTACCCCTTCAGTCTTTGAAGAAAATATGTTATCAACACTTCATTCCTTCATCTTTTTCAATAAGGTAGAAATTGTTGGTATGTTACAGGTAAGTTAGATTATTCCTCTTTTCCCTACTTAAAAAGATACCCTACTTGTGATTAATGCCATTTAAACTGCTGATTGCTTCAGCAGAAATAATTTTCCCTTTTAAATACCTAAATTGAGTCTTAATTTTGTTAAAATCTAAAGGTAGATGTTTTAGTGATATTATGAGATTACAGTATATAATGCTGTGAGGCCAGAAAGTTGTTTTGTTTGGGGTGGGGAAGGTAAGTGTGATAAAGAAGTCTAGTTTGAAGGAATTATAGGGGAATGATCTAAATGAAGTGATTCAATGCAGAATTTTAGGGATATCAATCTATCCATTATGCAGAAAATAGATTGGAAGAGGAAAGAAAAAATCGGAAAGCCAAGAGACATGTCATTGAATATAGACTATAAGTTCTGTAATATTTGTAGAAAAACCAGGTGATGAGATATTGAAGCCCCAGTTTTAAGGTCAAGGGAATTAAGTAGAGTTGGCAAATTACAACTGCATATATCCCTACCATAAGGCATGCATGCTTTTGTAATGGGTGAAAGTGTGGAGGATTGAAACAGACATGAGTTTGGGTTTCAGCTCCACTTGTCTCTTAAGAAGTATGTGACTTGGTCAACCTCTTTAAGCTTCAGTTTCCCCATCTGAAGGATGATAATACTGATACCTACCCTATAAGATTATCTGAAGAATTAGTGCATTTGTGCATGTAAAATATTGAACATGATGCTGTCCTATTCCTTTTTAGAGAATTGCTTTATTTCCGTGTCCTCACCTTTGTCACCTTTTTTTCTTTAAGTATGAATTCAAGTAGAAGGGTCGATCTTACGTATAATTGCTTTCCTAGAGCTATTAATAATTCTAGTTCGTATTGACAAGTTTGACACATTTTTCATTCATTTAAAACAGACATGTAAACAAATAATATTATAGGCAATACAGTCTGCTAAGTATAGTAGTAACCGTCCATACAGTGTACACCCTCTCCTCACGTATCGACACGGTTAAGTTCCAAAGACCAGGTCATTATGTGAAATCATTATTGTGCGAAATGCAAGATGACCACATCAGATCACAAAATGGAGGATTGCTACATCATTACATAATTGCCAAATTACATCATTACATAACTTCCACTTTACATCATTATGTAACTGCCAAACCACTGAGAATCATGGCCCAGCCAAGCTGACACATAACCTTAACCATCAAAGCCAGCTTTACTTTTGCTTTGCACCTCGGTGTTCGTTACTGCCAGACATAACGTCATTAATGTGCAAAATAGTAAGATAGTAGTTTTTTTTTACTGTTGTTATAAATGTGAAACGTCAGATAATGAGATAGTCTGAGTGAGGAGAATGTGTATTATAAGCAATAATGGAGGAGGGAGTAGAGTTCTGGTATCAATTTCCATTTGTTCCTTGATAAGGAACTAGTTTTCACAATGTGTCCAGCAGATGGAACCTCTGTTCTGTTGCAGTTTTGATTCTTGGTTTCCTTGGATAGTCCTGAGTTCACTGATCCTTTTTTTTCACCCCCATATGGTTCTCATTCTGTTGTGCAGGAATTCGTCATTTCTGTGTTTTCCTGGCCTTCATACTTGTGAAATGCCAATTTTACTCTTAAGTGTGAATTGTGTTGTTTCAGGTTGTTAAGGCTTTTATGCTCTGTAAAATGCTGGCTGCCAGTGCTGTAGTTCTGTTTCTCGGTGCTTATATCCAAAGTGCTACTGTAAAGAAAGGAGCATTTTACAAACTTTGTGGCAAGGTGTGATTGAAGTCCAGTTTAAAGCAAATTCTTGCCCACCTTACACACACGTTCATAAACTCACGGTTACCACTATTTTACCCCTTCTCCTTACCATTGGCTACTTCCTTTGTAATATCATTAAATATTCTTAATTGCTCTATTTGTGTACCCAGCAAACTACAGCAGTTCAGAGACTCTACCTTTTTTAAGTAATCATTCCCAGTTGGTGGGATATATTATATCAGGGATGCATCTTGAAATTGGATGCCATTTGGTAACAAGCATATGGTCAAAACTATGTGTAATTAGGTATGGCCTATTTGTACATTTTAGAAAAAGTAAAGGCAGGAATAACTAATTTAGTATCATAGCAAATGTTTCCTAAGCACCTACAACAGTAAATATGGAGTTGATAATTGAGTGGGAGATTTTATATATTACGTGTATGTGTATATATGTATATACAGACAGAGATACATGTATATGTGTGTGTGCATATATATTTAGATCTAGGCATTTTCTATAGGGCTGAGGTAGTAGAGAATCTACCAGCTGAAGTAGTATGGAATTAAAGTGTAAGAAAATCTTGATGAAAAATGGTGGGAAAACCTGAACTTTAATTAGGAGGGCTTTATCACTTACTAGCTGTGATTGGGCTTTAGATAAATTTCTTAATCTGTATTGCAGTTGTAAATTAAGAAGGTGAGATGAGATAGTATCTGTAATCTTATACTTCTCTAATTTACCCAGATTAATAGCCTATGACAGTATCCTTTGAATCTTTTTCAAAATAATTTTTTGTGTATGTATCTGCAAATAATAGGTTGTTTAAAAAAACTTTGAATTTAGTTTTTTAAATGATACAATCATTCTGTGTCTTTAAATCATGAAGGAACCTCTATCTTCATTTGAGAGGCTATAGAACCTTAGTTTCTAAAGTAATAATGTTTGTGAAAACCAGAGGTTGGCAAACTGGCCCATGCCTGTTTTTTTGTAAAAGGTACTGGTACACAGCCTTGCTCATTCGTTTACGTACTATCTGTGGTGCTTTCATACTGCACCAGCAGAGTTGAGTAGCTGTGATAGAGACTGTACGTCCAGCAAAGCCTAAAATATTTAGAGAAAAAGTTTGTCAAATCCCGAAATCATACTTTCACATGCCGTTAAATAGACTTAGGAAATTAAAAAAAAAAAAAAAACCATCGTGGTTAAGTCGATTCTGACTCATGGCGACCCCATGTGTTACAGAGTAGAACTGTTCTGTAGGGTTTTCTTGGCTGTAATCTTTACAGAAGCAGATCACCAGGTGTTTCTTCTATGGCGCTCCTGGGTGGGTTTGAACCGCCAATCCTTAGGTTAGTAGTCAAGTGCAAACCATTCGTGCGACCCAGGGAACTTGGCAGAACATAAGGAATAATCTTTCTGATAAGGATCCCCAGTTTATCCTTTAATAGTTTGCTTTTTCCTTCTCTCCTGTAAAGAACAGCATTATCAAAACCTTCCTCCCCTTCTCCAGTTATTACAACTTCTATTTTCTTTTATAGCATCCTACAATTAATTATATTTTATTATATTCTTACCACTAACATAATTGAATTTATCCTTTGATTTCACAGGAAGATGAAAAATTTCTGACAGATTTGTTTGCACAACTAACAGATGAAGCAACAGATGAGGAAAAAAGACAGGAATTGGTAAGAAATCAGATATTATGAAGGTTGTAAAGATAAAACAGTAAGTTTTTTATATTCACTTATTTTTCCTAATTTCAGGTTAACTTTTTAAAAGAATTTTGTGCGTTTTCTCAAACGCTACAGCCTCAAAACAGAGATGCTTTTTTCAAGACCTTGTCAAACATGGGCATTTTACCAGCATTAGAAGTCATCCTCGTAAGTTTGTTTCTTTTCTAATTTAATTATTATTTTTTTAAAACCACAAAAGTAATATCTTATATTTTTGTATAACATAAGTATTTGCTTATAACCAATAAACTATGTATTACACAAAGCTAAAGAAGTATAAAACTATAGTATTAGAATCTTTACACAGTATTGAAAGAATGCTCAGTGTAGTTTTCCATATGCTTAATAATAATTTCTTAACTTTGTAGCCTATTAGTTAACTGAAGTATTATAGTAGAAAGGCAAACAGGAATTAGTGATTTAGAAAGTATAATTTTATCCATAGAACAAGAGTGTTGCATGCAACAGAATTTCCTTTACTTAAACCTTTCTTTTTTTTCCTTAATCTTTTTTTCATATTGTAATGTTTTCTTGTTTGTTTTGTTAGGTTTTAGATTTATATAGCCATAAGTTCCATATTTTTATAATTAGAGGAGAAATAAGTGCTTTTTATCTGCAGGGCATGGATGATACACAGGTGCGAAGTGCTGCTACTGATATATTCTCATACTTGGTTGAATATAATCCATCCATGGTACGAGAGTTTGTCATGCAGGAGGCACAACAGAATGATGATGTAAGTAAGAAGTTAACAGAGCAAAAAATAACCAACAAGGTAAATATTACTTGCACTAATAGTATTTGTACATGGAGCTTAACTGTCTTTATTATTCATTTTTAAGATTTAAATAGTTGATGTTTGGGAGAAGTGTAGGCATAATACCACATGGCTTGTTCTTCACCTAAACTGGCTCCTGTCTCAGTTTATAAATTTGTTGTCTCTTACAGCAGTTATTTGTTAATGATCAATTTAAATTTCTTTTTAAAAAATTTCAAGATCAAGTTTCTTTTTAATTTTGATGTTAACTTGCTGTATTGTCTCGTTTCAATCATTTAATCAATTCGTTGTTTTTCGGTGTGTGAGATTACGAGTAACTTGCCTAGGAAAACATTGGCTTTCTTAGGGATAGATTTCCCAGATCATCAAGAATGAAGACATAAAATATAGGCCCTTGGGAAGTATTCTTAAGTTAGGGAGCTAACCGTAGGGAACAAGCTATTGTCTTGTTTTTTCACCCCACTATCTTCTATGGGAAAATACACCATGGTCATGTCAACAGCACTTCCAGAGCATACGGTGCCTGACGTGCGTGCAGCCCTGAGCGTGTGTGCTCCTCTGTTTTGTTTTCAGATGGTTAACCTTATGAGTCGGGTTTTTCCTTCCTCTCTCATAAAGTCTTGGAAGTCATTTTTTACTTAAGAATAGACTAAGGTATTCCTCCCGCAGCTCCTTCGTAAGCTTAAGGAGGAAAAAACCTGTGCAGAATCTCAGCCTACGATGTTACCTTTTTCAGAGTTCCTAATCAGTGTGTTGTGATGTCAGAATGAAGTGACGTGCCTAGTAACGTCTGTATTTAAAGGTTTAAAAAAAATTGTAGTGCCAGGGGAGGTGCAGAAAACTACTAGTTAAACTGTTGAATTTATGTAGACATATCTGGAGAACCAAAATATCTGTATTATTGAAAATAAAACTAGGACTATTCCTGTTGGTCTTTGCAAACCACTAGTTTAACATAGATTTTTTTTGACGTTTGAAATCTGTATATCCCATTTACTTTTGTGCTCTCTCTGAATACCATAGTCTTATTTTCCCTCATTATATTTGAGTGTTGACTAATTTTTTCTTAAATTTACTTAAAAAGGAAACTTTATCACTTCCATAAATGAAGAACAGATATCATGTGTCATAAACAGAAAAAAATCTATAAAAAATAAAGTAAAAAATAAAAATGTTACATATTGAAGCTAAATATGCTTACTATTAAAGCTATGACCCCAAGGCCTAGTAGCTTTCTTCAGAAGAGAGATTACATTATTAGAGAGGTGACTCGATGGCACACAGCAACGACGACAAAAATCCATTAGCACCAAAATGAAACTTTCTTTTTGGTTTAATCAAAGGGATTTAAAGATAATACAAAAAGAAACTTTGTTTTTGGTACCATTTTATTGTAATGTCCTTGTACCACGTTTTTGGAAAACACTGCCGTAAATCGTATTAGAGAAGTGAGTCAACCAGTCGTTCAGTTTTGTTGGCAGTAACAAGACAGCTAGAGCTATGTATAATGCTGTAGTGTATGTCTTGGTATGTGTTTTGTCCATTCTTTTCTTTAATAAGTGGTCCTTATTATGTGTATTTTTCTCACCAGGATATTCTGCTCATCAACCTCATTATAGAACACATGATTTGTGATACAGATCCTGAACTTGGAGGAGCAGTCCAACTTATGGGCCTGCTTCGAACTTTAGTTGACCCAGAGAACATGCTAGCCACTGCCAATGTAAGCCATGGAGGTTTTTCTATTTTTTATAGCTAATATACTGTTTATTGCTGGTAGGAACCAGTGCAGTTAAAGTTCATGGAAATGTTTTTGATTCTTTAGAAAACGGAAAAGACTGAGTTTCTGGGTTTCTTCTACAAGCACTGTATGCATGTTCTCACTGCTCCCTTACTGGCCAACACAACAGAAGAGAAACCCAGTAAAGGTAAGATCATGCAGGTTGGTAATTATGCTCTCTGTTCTTGAATTCTGAAACTCATCACTGAAATTTAAAATTGGTGTTAGGTAACACCAGTCTTTAAAAAGTTCAAACCATTTGGTTGACATAGAGGGTCTAATAAGGGGTGTTTGAAAGAGATGTCAAGGTAAAATTTCATTTAAAAGTGCTATAATCTAAGATAACAAACAAAATAAGAGATAATTGTTTTGTTTCAGAATTAAAAACTAAATTTGTTAAACAATTTTTTAATTTACACTGCATTTATATAGGCAAAATAAAGAGGCGAAAGAAAATAGCTTTTATTGGAAGTTAAGCTATGTAAAAAAATTCATTTTAAGTTATTTGTATTCCAGATGTGTAGACAGAGCTAAGTTTTTGCTCAACATTAGGATATGTCTATTTGTGTTGAGTATCAAAGCTCTGGGAATATAAATACATTGTCAGATGTATTATCAATATAGTATATTTAATTTATAACGACTTATAGAAAATAATCTTAAATATAATTTTTGTGTGGCTCTAGAATCAAGTCATGAAACAAATAATTGTATTTCTATCTATTCATTTTAGATAAAGCTCGAGGCTTCTTTCTAAAGCACATTTTCAGTTCATCATACATTTATTGAGAACCAGTTGTGTGGAAGGCAATGTCCTATATTCTTTAGGGGCTAAATGAGAGAAATTTTAAAAGAAAGTAAAATGTCTTTCAGAGGCTTGCTGCCCGATGAGGAAGAAAGATAAGCCAGTAATTTATAGTTCACTGTAAACTCAGTATGTGTAGTCAATGAAGTTCAGAACACACTGGAATTGGGGGCCAGAGAGATTAATTCCACCAGAGATGAGATGGTGTCTGGCAGGACCTCTTTTTCTATGTGTGTTTTTTTTTTCTTTTTTTTTTTTTGTAAAAATATATATAACACGGTATTTGCCAATTGAGCATTTTTCAGGTATACAATTCAGTGGTATCAATACTAAATTAATTATGTTGTGCAACAACCACCCATAATGCTTTTTTTTTTGACGGACATGTTAAGGCGTGGTAGAGTATTCTTGCACTTCAGAATCAGATCTCACAGATTTGTATCTCTCTTCTGCTTTACTAACTGTTGAGTTGTGGGTCTGCTTAGTTAATAAACTTGTGATGTTGTGAAGCTAATTCCTCATAGGGTTGTTTAAATCATGTTTAAGAATATACATACAGCACAGTTCCTGGCATATGGTAGGCATTCAATAAATGTTTTTCCTCTAAATTTAAAATAGTTAAGTTTAGACTTTGATATAAAGCTATGGTAGGTTTTTGGAATGTTAAAGAGAAGTAGAGATTTTATTTGATTGTGATTTTGGTTCTTATATTTAAGAGAAATAAAAATATTAGCCATTAAATATAATTGTGTTTTGTTTATTTTAGATGATTTTCAAACTGCCCAGTTATTGGCACTTGTCTTGGAATTATTAACATTTTGTGTGGAACACCATACCTACCACATAAAGAACTACATCATTAATAAAGATATCCTCCGAAGAGTGCTAGTTCTTATGGCCTCAAAGCATGCTTTCTTGGCGTTATGTAAGTGTTGTTTTTGGTAGATTTATTTATTAGCTTTGTAGATTATCATGTTGTTGGTCCTCAGCTCTCAGAAGAAAAGATGGCTGACTACAGGTCAGGAGACCAAGGTTCTAGTAGTAGCTCTGCCACACTTTTTCTAGTACTAGTTTGGCCATATTGAGCCAGTAATTTTCCTAACTCTCTTATTTCACATTAATAAAGAGCAAAGGGGTTACAGTGCATCTATAAAACCATGTTGAGTATTATATTCAGTTTTTTAAAAACAACACCTTTGATCATTGTACCTGTTGTTTTAGAGCATGGGTAGCAAACTACAGCGTGTGGCCAAATCCAGCTTGGCCTGTTTTTTTTTTGACTTGCAAGCTGAAAATGGTTTTTATGTTTTTAAAGGATTGTTTAAAAAAAATAAAAGAATATGCTACAGAGAGCATATGTGGCCCACAAGACTTAAAATAGTATTTGCTGTCTGCCCTTTATGGGAAAAGTTTGCCAACCCCTTTTTAGAACAACGGATAGTCTTTTATCAAGGTTCTTAGTTACATGTAAGTTTTTCACAGTTAACTTTCACAATCAGCATTCTTTAAGACCCAGCCTTGTTGGAGTAAAATATGTTTATGAATTGAAAATAGGCTAAGCCTGTCAGTATAATTTTGATCATGTAGCAGCCAACTTTCTTAGGTAATGAGTTTCTGTATTTCAACTGTCCTTATTGTGAAGTGGCAGGCTAAGTTTAGGGTATCCAAGAAGCTGAATAGGAGATGTCTGCTGGTAATTAATTCTTGCCCCTTGGTTTTTAAAGGTAAGTTTCAGGGTTTTGTTGTTTTCTAAGATATCACAGCCACCTGCTAATTGGAGGTCTGAACATATGCATACATTTGATTTTTTTTTTTTTTAACTTTAATTTTTAATCGTTTTGATTAACTGATTTTTCTAAAATACTCTTAGATTATAAAAACAACATTGTTTATAAGGATGTTTTGATGGTGATTAGCACCATCATTATTTTTATCTTTAAAATATTATTGGAAAACATTTCCTTCTAAATTTTTTACTAAGCTTTTTATCAGGTTGACAGTTGTCAGCCTTCTTGATTTAGTCTTTCAGGCCAGTGTGTAGACACTGCAGTATGTACTGAGAGTACATGTGGTCATAGTATATCTTCATTTTCCAGCTGTCATATATTCAGTACTACTACTTTTGCTAATTATCTAGGGTCTTTGATGTTATCTTAGTTATCCTTTTCAATCAAATATTTATAAGTTGCAGCTAGCATCTGTGGCATTAACTTATACTGCTAAGGACAGCAAAAAGTAAATTCACTATTTCTGTTCTACTTTAATATTGCTTGTAGCCATGAGCTTATCGGAGACAAGAGAAGGGCTTTTAAGTTCATGTTCATTTACCCTATGTACCTGTCACAGTAAAAGTTAGGGCCCTACGGTCAAGTTTAGAGGAAGATACCAGTTTTATTTCAATGAACTTATTAAATACCTACAACCATATTTGAGTGTTTCTGAGATGTGCATTTTTACATATTATCTGAAATCAAGGTGAGTCTTACAATTAACGACAAGTCAGAGTATAATTAGTAGCACTTTTTGTTCATTTTATGTTCTTAGTGTTAGAAAAAAAATTGTTTCTTATAACCAGTGGCACCTTAGGTTTGATGAAATACAATATATACGTAGTACTAGGAAAATACAGATGATTAAAACCTGACTCAGCTATCAAGGGGATATCAGCTACCCAGTTGATTAGCAGGAAATAGTCATGTAAAAATAAAAATATAGCATAATAAGCAGTATATTTAGGTGTGCTAGAAGCATCATAGAAATAACTTGCTCTTTATGAATAATGCAGATTAGAAAAATTTCATAAAAGAGGTGACGATGAATTGTGTCTTAGGGGAAATCGTGACATTCTTGGCTGAGTACACAGTTAAGATGTACAAGTGGGAAAAAGCATGGCAAGTTGGAGGTTTGGAATAGGTAGAAGCCGTGAGTGTGATGGGATAATGGCAGGATATATGTTAAAAGGGAAGGTCTTTTCTTCCATATATTTCTTCCAGTGGGGGTTCATCTCATCATTTTGCTTGCATTATTGTAAAGAAGATTCATCATAATTTAATGTGAATCTAGAAGAAATCACTACAAGCCAATAAAAGTTTATATTATAGGAAATTAGTAAGCTAGCAAAATCTTATACTTTTTTTATTGTTGATATTTTATAAACTGAGTCAGATTATCATTAAAACCATTTTTCATATGACTTCCAGCGTTGAGAATATGAGTTGTCTTCAAGAATATTCCAGTCATTTAACAGGTTCTGTAGGAGTGGCTTTGGTAGTACACAACAGGAGTTTTTATCAAGTACTTCTAAGAACTAAGTATAAAGTCGGGGGAATTTATTTAGGATATTTGTGGATCTGCTGAGAAAAGTGTACTGGTTCCATCAGTATTTTTTTGGCCTTTTCAAGATTCTTGGATCTTACATTGTAACCGTTTAGCTCATACTTTTTTGTGTCTGAGTTTTTGTATTTGTTAATAAAAATATGGAAACTATTAAGATAAATTGTAGAGGCTTTTATTCAGCTATCAGTATTACATGGGAGGCAAAAGCCTTCAAGCATATTTCATGAAATCTCATGTGTATAAGGTAAAGACTAATGATTTGTTTTAGAGGTGGTTGAATCTAACCACAAGAGACTCTTAGTGTGATAATGAAAGTTAGAGATGTTGTGAGTGGAAGCAGAATACACTTTATATTGAAAATAATTACGGTTATGCTAATTTGACCTATCCCAAATCGCTTTCTGTAATCTCTTTTAAATACTGGTTAAATTGCCTTTTCAACAGCAAGGAATAGTGGATGAAGGTTTCTTTGGGGGACAGGAGGTTGAGTGGAAATAACAGAAAAGTTTTTAATATAAAAGAGTGAGGGCAAATGGAAATGAAGACCAAGAGACACACACTACTAGAACCACCTGTCGACATCAGCAATTTGTGGATTGAAGTCTTTTGAAGAGGCAGTGGGGCCATGGCCATCCGTGTAACCTGTCTTAGTGAATTCTAGGAAGGGAGAGCGTCTCACTTACCTAGGAACTGCGTGCAGACCAGAGGGTTCTTCAGCTAGTGTGTGTGACAGTAGGACACAAGTCTCCACAAAGCCTGCAGAGTTGAAGCACTGATTCTAAAAATAATAATAGCTCTTGCCTTAGTTACCAAAAGCTTAAAAGTTGGCCTATTAGCATGAGCTCTAAAACTATGATTTTGATTCTAATAAATGGAACTGCCTCACTGAGTTCCTTTGTCAATTAAAGTTAAAAAACAAGCTCTAAAAACATGGTTTTGGGAAAATAAACCCTTGTTAAGCTTTGACTTATAACACAGAAAGATGTCTCTTATTGTTTAAAATGTCTTATTTCACCATGCTTATGTATTTGAATATATTCGTTAGTTTAAAAAATAAAATGCAATTACTATTCTATAAACTCTTGAAACTCCCTGCCCAGAGTGTGTTTCTTTAGAAAGATACACTCTTAACTAAGCTGGATTGTTAAGGCAGTTTATAATCAACTGTACCTAATTGGGCATTCACTTGTGGACCTCTTTTCTGCCAACTAAAGAAAAATTGAGCTGCTTTACTCCTCTGCCTTCCCACCCAGAAACCGTGTCAGCATGGTTGCCTGGCTACCTGCTCATGAAGGACTTGATTAATAACAAATTGGCAATTTAACGAGCCACTTCCATGATCTCCAAAGAAACCAAAATACAAACACAATATTTAATCTTGCCAACCGAAGACGATGTGACTGCATGAAGTGAGTATGCTTTTTTGAACTGTTTACAGTAACTGGGGCATTAACTTACTGATCATTCAGTTTAGGTTAAAGAGGGCTTTGCTGAAGTCTAGCTGTCTGAGTATATTTGGATCTTGACGAATGGCGACTTAAGTAACTCCCCATACCTCAAGATGTAAATATACATTTTAATCTGTAAGTTAAAGCCTATTTAATTTTAAAAAGGAAAACTAGAAAAAAATTTAAAAAGCATACTCGCTGCAGTAAGCATAGAGGACCACATTTTTAAAAACATCCTCTAAATTTATTTCTAAACTACGGGAAGGCAAATTTTGGGTCCTGCAGATTTTTGTGGGTTTATGACATTTCTACAAACACATCCACAAATAAACCTATGTAAATAAGTGAACTCTGGTGCAAAAATAAAAGTGTCCAAGAATACTGAAGATTCAGATGATACAGTGGATTGCCCTAATAAAACAGTGGGTTTCTATTGTTTCTAAAGTGTATGTAAGTAAAAGGACATGTTTAGAATTATCTCATCTTAAGTAGTATGATAGGTTAATTCCTTTGTCTTAGCTCTCATTTCAGGTGTAAATTACATTTTGGTCGCTAGTAACAGGTTTATTTCCAGAATTTTTCTGGCTTTCTAAGACTTGTGTTCTACTATGACATATACTACCTTAAGAATATATTTTTGATAGCACTTTTATAAACCTTATCTTTAGGCTCATGCTTTTGGAAGCGCTGATATCACTGTGCATGAAAAATTACTGATATTTAACAGGTTTCTTTTTTAATTTAAAATATGGAAGTATGGTATGTGATTTAAACAACAATGACTCTGTGTTTCAGGTGCCCTTCGTTTTAAGAGAAAGATTATTGGATTAAAAGATGAGTTTTACAACCGCTACATAATGAAAAGTTTTTTATTTGAACCAGTAGTTAAAGCATTTCTCAACAATGGCTCTCGCTACAATCTGATGAACTCTGCCATAATAGAGATGTTTGAATTTATTAGAGTGGTAAGTTCTCTAGGTTTTAAATTGTAACTTTAGTTTTGATTGTTTGAGAAAATTGAATATGTGGTAATGGTGTATTTTGGCATATTGAAGATTGTTATATTTGGAGAGAATTTTAAACAGAAAAGCAAAAGTTTGTGAGAAATTCAATTCAGACAAATAATGAAAGTAATCTTAACATCTCTTAGCAGCTATGAGTCCTTTATAGGATGGTTTGAAAACTGATTTAACAGTGTCAGGGTAATCATAAAGTGGAAGTACATTTGGCATTTGAATGTTTTTTTTTGTTTGTTTTTAACTTTCAGGTTTTCTTGGATTCTTGGCTTTTGTCCTATGTTTCTAAAGAGCAATTTCATAATAAACTCTTCTTGATGCTTTAATAATATCGTATGTTAAACTAGAAACCTGTTGCTGTGAGTTGATTCTGACTCATAGCAACCCTACAGGACCAAGGAGAACTGTCCCAGAGGGTTTCCAAGGAGTGGCTGGATTTGAACTGCTGACTTTTTGGTTAGCAGCCGAGCTCTTAACCACTGCACCACCAAGGCTTCTAATATAGTAGTTAGGTGGTTCTTAAACATTAGTGTGTCTCAGAATTATCTGTGGCATGCCTTTAAAATACACACACACAGGTCCCATCCCAGCCCTGTTGAATCAGAGTCACCTCGAATGGGACCTGTGCATTTACTTTGAAAAGACCAATAGATAATTCTCAGGTACGCCAAAAATAAGGGACTACTGAAATGACCAATATATGTTATGCCCATTTTCTTTGCTTGATTATCTCTTAAGATTGTTGTCTTAGCCTCCTAGGGCTGCCATAACAAAATGCCACAAAGTGGGTGACTTCAAAGAACAAAAATTTATTTTCATACAGTTCTGGAGGCTCGGAGTCTGAATTCAGGGCATTGGTCCGGCTATGCTCTCTCACTCGCTGTCAGCTCTAGGGGAAGAGCCTTCCTTGTCTCTTTCAGCTTCTGGTAGCCCCGGGTGTTTGTGTTTCTTGGCTTGTGGAGGGGTCCTCACATGGTGTCTTGTCCATGTGACTCTCTGTCTCCATGTCTGTTCTCCCCTTCTGTAAAATACCACCCAGAAGGGATTAGGATTCAGACCCACCCTACTCTGGTATGACGTCCTTAATTTAATAGGTAATATCTACAAAGGTAAACCCTGTTTCCCCAAACAAGGTCACATTCATAGGTACAAGGGTTAGGATTTCAACATACCTTTTTAGGGGATGCAGTTCAGTCCATAACAATTGTATAATGATTTTATGAAATTAAACTACTTTGGACAGGTTTTTGAATTTACTACAATCAAACCTCAACTTGCTACAATGTTTCCCTATCTCAGTTTCTATTACAATTCTTTTCTGTAGGAAGATATAAAATCATTAACTGCTCATGTAATTGAAAATTACTGGAAAGCACTGGAAGATGTAGATTATGTACAGACATTTAAAGGATTGAAACTGAGATTTGAACAGCAGAGAGAAAGGCAAGATAATCCCAAACTTGACAGGTAAAAACTACCGTTTCAGCAACAAGTTGTGTAGTGGTGGCTCTTTTATTCATTCAGTATTGTCTGGCTCGGCACCAGGGGGCGGGGGTTGGGGAGAGTAGGCAGAGGTTAGCAGAAGTTACAGTTTTCTGTACTGGTCAATGTAAATGTTTTCCTGAAGGTGTAGGTGGATGTTAGTATGATCTGCAGCCCTTCCTCAGGCATATATCAAGCTAAAACAGTCAGTTGCCTTTAAGTCATCTCTGACTCATGGCGACCCCACGCATGTCAGAATAGAACTGTGCACCATAGGGTTTTCAGGGGCTGATTTTGGCGAAGTAATCACCAAGCCTTTCTTCTGAGGTGCCTCTTGGTGGACTCCAACCTTGGTTGTAGCAGCTCAGTGTGTTAACCATTTGTACCACCCGGGGACTTCTCTGTCAAGATAGCTATTGAGGAAAAAAATACTATGTGGCAATGAGGCTTCATGTGTTCAAAGTAAAATCAGAATATTATTAGCTTTGAATTATTTTAAAGTTACAATTCATTATAAAATCTTGTGCATTTTTCTAAATACCTGAATTCACATACTTAGGGTATATTAAAAATATGTAAATTATTACTTTTTAATTTCTGATGTTAACAAGTTTAATAACTAACCTGTCACATAACAGTTTTGTTAATATGAAATTTGATTCTACTAGTTACCACTAGATATGGTGTGGGGGTGTTTTTTCATTACATTTTGGGTAAAAGGTATATTTTTTTTCATCAGCCTCAATGTATGTAAGTCCAAGAGCCTGTTTCACCCGCACTAACCTTTTAAAGACTACCTAGTTTGGAGTAGTATTTGAAGACTATCAAAAAGTTCTCACACGATTGTGTTTATTCTTCTTTCTTTTCTTTACTTATAGCATGCGTTCCATTTTGAGGAATCACAGATATCGGAGAGATGCCAGAACACTAGAAGATGAAGAGGAGATGTGGTTTAACACAGATGAAGATGACATCGAAGATGGAGAAGCTGTAGTGTCTCCATCTGACAAAACTAAAAATGATGATGATATTATGGATCCAATAAGTAAATTCATGGAAAGGAAGAAATGTATGTTGAAAAGATGGGCAAGGAAAAAGGAAGGCGTTCTCACTCTAGGTTTATTCTTTATTTCTTGACAGAATGATTATTTTCTACCTTAAATGTGTGATGACGTAGATTTTAAAGGTACTGTTGCCTTATAGGTTGTGACTGAATTAATAATTCTGTTGTGAAGGTACAGACTCAGTTTTATTAATTTGACTTGGAGAAGTAAGGAGGACTATAATATTTCAGGAAGGGTAGGAATACTTAATGTTTCCTTCCTTCGCAAGTAATTTAGTATTTTGCAAAGCTTTGTTCATAAATTGAACTTCAGTGTTTCTGCCCAGCAAAAGAGTAACCTAGCTAATTGTGTCTTAGAGCCACCTCATTTTGGAGATTCAAAAAGGAATGACTATGGTGATAATTATTGACAATATTCTCATTTTTAGTAAAAGAAAGTGAGGAAAAGGAGGTGCTTCTGAAAACGAATCTTTCTGGTCGGCAGAGCCCAAGTTTCAAGCTTTCCCTTTCTAGTGGGACAAAGACTAATCTCACCAGCCAGTCATCTGCAACGAATCTGCCTGGTTCTCCAGGATCACCTGGATCCCCAGGATCCCCAGGCTCTCCTGGATCTGTCCCTAAAAATACGTCTCAGACGGCAGCTATTACTACCAAGGTACACCTTCAACTCCCAGGCCTGCCTAGTAGCCTTCTCAGTGATAACTGTTGTGATTGAGACGCCCTGTGGTTGCTAGTCTTGTGGAGCTAATTTAACATTTGTGACCTAAAGGATGATTGACGTGCACACTTACACATGAACTTATGTAAAAGTTCATATACAAAAGTCTGGATATACGTTTGTTGTTGTTGTTGGTTAATATACACAGCAAAACACACTAATTCATTTCTATGTGTACAATTCATTGTAAATTTATATTTTTTTTGGTATTTTGTTTAGATTTATATATGCTAAAACATTTACAGAAATTTTAAGGTTTTTATTTATTCATTACTTTTATCAACTTTAATACCCAGATAGATAAAGGCTTTGGGGGGAGAAGATAATCTACTGTCACTAACATTTCATATAAGAAAGGATACAAATTTTAATACCCCCAAAATGTAGGAAAGATATAATATCAGGAAAAAAATAAAGTCGTTTTGGCTGCTTTATGCTGCCTTTTTTTAATTTGAAGTCAAAATTTATTAGTTATTATTGGACTAACAGTTGGGATTCACTAAATCAGGAATATGGACTCTGGGTGGTGCAAATGGTTAAGCACTGAACTACTAGTTTGAAGGTTGACAGTTCTAGTCCACCCAGAGGCACCTCAGGAGACAGGCCTGGAGATCTGCTTTAGAAAGATCACAGCCTTGAAAATCCTGTGGAGCAGTTCTGCTCCGCACAATGGGGTTGTTGTAAGTTGGAACTGACTTAACCGCAATGAACAACAACAATCTGTTTTAAAAAATTTTAATGCGTTGTCTTGAAATAGTTTAAACAATATGTTTCTGTCTCTGGTGCTTTGTTAGGATTATAAATTTAAAAATTTTTATTTTAAGTAATTTGAAAGTTTTCCCTTATTATAAAGTTACATATGCTTATTATGAGAAATTTAGGAAATTCATAAAAATAATAAATTTAAGGTGCACATAATCCCACCATCCAGAAATAACCACAGTATTTTTTGTTTTGAATAATCTTTTATTGTGTTTTTGGTGAAAGTTTACACAGCAAATTAGGTTCCCATTTGACAGTTTCTACACAAATTTTTCAGTGGCATTGATTACATTTTTTACCAAGTGTCGACATTCTCATTATTTCTGTTCTTGTTCCATTTCCAGTAATCTAGTTTCCCTGCCCCATTATCATCTCATCTCTGCTTTAGAGTAATTGTTGACTGTTTGGTCTTATATAGGTGATTTTGTAAAAAGATCACAGTGCTTATGGGTGGTAATCTTTATTTTATCAGCCAATCTGTTATTTAGCTAAAAGGTGACCTCAGGATGGTTTTGGTTCAACCTTTAAAGGGTATCTCAGGGAGTTAGGGGTGTCCTCTACTCTCATCTGGTCCAGTAAGCCTGGACTTTTTAAGAATTTGAGTTCTGTTCCACATTTTTCTCCCACATTTTCTCAGGAGCCATCTTTTGTAGTTTTCATCAGAATGGTTGGTAGTGGTTGCCGGGCACCATCTAGTTCTTCTGGTCTCAGTAGGTAGATTAGGCTGTGGGTCATGTAGACTATTAGTCCTGTAGATTTAACTTCTTTGAATCTTTGGTTTCCTTCTTTTTCTTTTGCTCTTGATGAATAGAGACCAATATTTGTGTCTTAGATGGCTGCTTGCAGGCTTTTAAGACCCCAGACACTACTCAGCAAACTAGGACATAGAACATGAATTTTATGAACTATATTGTGCCAATTGACCGACTTGTCCCACAAGACTATGGTCCTAAAAGTTCAAACCCAGCAAGCCTATCCAACAAAATGTTTGGTTGTGTCTAAGAAATATCCGTAACTGCCTCCTATGTGCTTTACTATATATATGAATATATGCATGCACACATACGTGTATATACATACAGATATATCTGTATATGTAACCACATATTTTTTGGTGGTGGTTGCTGTCAAAACCACAGTTAATATATGGTGGGGGAGGTCTGTATTCTTTCTCCAGACTTAAAATGAACGTATTTTAAAATTAGAGTTTTTTTGTTTTGTTTTTGTTTAAATAATGCTTGTTTCTTAACAGGGAGGCCTTGTGGGTCTGGTAGATTATCCTGATGATGATGAAGATGATGATGAGGACGAAGACAAGGAAGACACGCTACCATTGTCAAAGAAAGCAAAGTTTGAGTCATAATAATGGCTACGTTGAGTACCTGTTGAAAAAACTGGTTGTTCACCCCTCCCCACCTACAAAATCCGCAACAAAGCAGTGGTCTCTTGTGAATGACTGACACAGATCAGCCTGCTACACTTGACTTCTGCTCATCAAGTGCCAATTCAATGGAGCAGGAGGAGGGGGATAGTATACATTAGGGGAAAGATTTAAGCCTCTGAGCTCTCCAGCTTGGACCACACATTGCCCTTTTCTCAGGGAAGGAAATGGAAACAAAAAGCCAACAGGGCAGGGGTTTTTTAAGTGGCACTCTGGATTGACTGGTCGGTTACTACAATCAGAACATGCTTTCTTGGACCATGTTTGAGACTCAGAAGAATGGGCTTTTCTGCCACAATTCTTCACTAGTTAAGAATGCCAGCAGTTTCTTTGTATAAAGAGACCTGCCTTTAAAATCATACATTCTGAACATTTTAGTCAAGCTACCACCGGTTTGGAAAAACCTCTGTGGGGGAGGGGCGAATATAAAGTTTCCTCTTTTTTATCTGTTCCCCTTGCCCTTCAAACTGCAGATTTTTTTTAAAGTGGGGATTTGTCCCTACTTGATTAAAGATTGAGTGGAATTCTAGATGTGGTCATTCGTGTCATAATTATTTTTTTGTTTCATTTTGTTTTTGATTTGTTTTCTTCCGAGTGTCTGTTTAGTTGTTGCGTATATATATCTGGGACCATTAAAACTTTTTTTGATGTAATATAACCTAACGTCGTGCCGGTACCTGCTTTACTATGTGTAATTTGTGTTCTACACCACAGTTCTTAATTTGTTTAGAGTTTTATGAAAGATGGTATAGTTTTTATTGACAAAAGCAAAGTAATCTTGCAACTATGTGCATACAAAAAGCAATACTATTTTGTGACTAAATATTTTATATTAAAATTTACATCAGCAACTGTCTTGAGAATTCAGGGAAATAGAGTGGAATTTAAAACTTCAACAGTTTTGTTAAACCTAGAGACGTGAAATTAGTATTCCAAAGAGATTCTGAAATTTCATATCTTGGAAAATGATGGTACGTTAATCAAATTGAGGATGGATGATTTAAAAATAACGTTTGACTTTTGGTGAAAAATAAAAAGAAAATTGAAGAGTAAGAGAAATTGTATTAGTTGTATGTTTTATTTTTTAACTTCTCCCTTTGGAATACCAGTTTGAGCTGTAAGTGGTGGTTCCTAAATCAATCCCTGGCCAGAGGACCATCCGAGATGACCTTAGTAAAACAGTATTTTTAAATAGGTTCTTTTTGTTGTGGTAAAGTTCTTTCAAGGAAATGAAAATAAATATCTCAATTCCACATTTCTTCACCTTTTTTTTCAGTGACGATTTTAGAATCTGGAGAATGTATCTGCAAGTGTGAATAATTCATGTCCAGGAAAGAATATTTTTAAGTATTATATACTTCAGCTGATTACCTAACAAGCACTATGTGCTGTCATCTTAGCTTTCCCTTTTGCCTAGACTTCAGTACATTCTAATTTGTGGTACCAAAAACAAAGCTATATTGAATAGCTGGATAAAAACCCAGAAAATGACAACCTTGCTACAGTCTGATTATTTTTTTAATAACAAAACTTTGGATGCTTAATTAACTAAGAGATTAAGTGTATTTCACTGGAGTGTAGCACTGCTTTGAGTCACAAGTTGTGGCTATTAATAATTGAAGTGAATCATCTTATCTTGAAATAAAGAGAAGAAAACTTAATAGGATCTAAGTTAGTTACATTACTGTCTTCCTTTGTTACCTAGAAAGTACCAGGTGAAGTAATGATTGTGCCTTAAACATAATTTAAACTGACCTCTCTGACTCTTGAAACACTTGCTTTGGTATTCTGAGGATTCTTGGATAGAGGGGAGAAGCATCATTTGCTTTTGTAAATTGTGGCCCAGTATGTCAAACAAAGGCAGCTGGTGGCACAAACGGTTAAGCGCTCGACTACTAGCCGAAAGGTTGGCTGTTCAAACCCACCCAGGGGCACCTCAGAAGACAGGCCTGGTGATCTACTTCCAACCAGCCTTGAAAACCCTGTGGAACAGTTCTACTCCGCACAGCTGGGGTCACCATGAGTTGGAATCGACTCAACAGCAGCTAACAACATCGTGTCAATAGATACAAAGTTTTGGCCTTCCACATTTACGAGATGCCTCTTCATCGGACTGCTGCATTCCCTTAGTTATTAGTGATTATGGTTACTGAAGCAGAAACTTGACAGGTTCCTAAAACAACAGGAGAAATGGAGTCTCAAATAGCTTTTGGAGGGATATTGTGACCAATCACAAGAAATACACAGTTCCATGATTCCAAAATTCATGATCTTAATCATAGATACTATCTTGATAACTGACATGAATAGAGTTATAAATTATTTTCACTGTAATGATAATACTCGTTCTTTGGCTCATTTTGCAGTGTTTGAAATGAAAAACAATTTTCACCTCCCAGAGAGATTACACAACAATTTCTGAAAAAAAACTTAGAATTACTGCAGGAAACGCCCTGATACCTCACCTTGTCCAGAAGTGCTACTCTGCCTTTTTTTTTTTTTTTAAAGAATGTGGCCTGGTGGTGTTTCCCTGCCTGATGGTACTCAAATCCTGCATGTAATTTGCTTTGGAATTCTACTTTGCAAGTGAATTTCTTGTAAAAGCCTGAGGGTAGTTCTATGAAATGATGGAGGGGGGGAGACATTCCTACTATTGTTTCTTTTCTTAGTTGACTGAAGCAGTGGTCTTTATAAAGGCTGCAAGATTAGTAGAGCAAAGAATTTAAACGAAGATTTTTTTTTTTAAATGGCAAACTTCAGGTTGTCAACAGATTTCTAGTACTTACGTAAATGAGTAAACAGCACTGGTAAAATCTGCCCCTCTTGGAGGAAAATTTAAGACTAAAAAATCTTAAATACAAGATTCTATTAACTTTTTCTGCCATAATGTTACACATTTTGAGCAAGAGGATTATAAAAACAGATTTTTATGGGATGGATTATATTACATTATTATACCAGAATTTGAGGCAACATATGAGGAAAGGGTAACTGTCAGTATGTTGTGATACCCATCGCTGCATCAGTTTGATTTTTCCCTTTTGGGCCTTAATGCCTCATCTTGACTCTATAATGATCAATCTGAACGAGAACTCTTAGTCTGCCTTCAGAGAAATGATTTAGCTACTAGAGTCAGATGTCTTCTTCCTTAAAATAGCTCTGGTTGGAGAGACAACTTTCCTAGACGTTTTTGTTCTCCCAGGTAAAAGTTCTTACGTGGGCTTATAAGGAATATTGAGTACTTCAGCTTGTTACTAGATGGGTTATTTTGTGTTTTAATTTCCTTCTACCCTCATCATTGGGAAAAAAAAAAAACCTGCTCTGGTGTAGGCCACACTCTCCCTGCGAATTCAATGGGCCCTTTTCCATCCTTATGTTACTTGACCCTTAGGCAGCATTTGCTACTAACCACTCTTCTTGATGCCTTTCTCTTGACTTCTGTAGCCTACAGCCTTCCTGTAATGCCATGTGCTTTAACATTTCTGATCCTTCTGTCTTTGGATGGTTCTCCTTCCTTACTCCTTAAATGCTGGGATCCAAGTAGGTCTTGGGCATGCTTAGAAAGCCAGGCCATGTTACTTTCATGTCCTTGACCCCCATCATGTGCCCTAAAAGACTCCTGCCTTCCTCTACTGTGCCCCTTTTCTTAAATCTTCTCCCTGCCTTGTGTGCTGATGAATTCACACTCCTCTTTAAACATCCGGAAGTGTTCCCCTGACACTCCTTCCTTGAAAGAAGAGGTTATATCTTTTTCATCTTTTTATCTCTAGCATCAAGCATAATTAGTAACTCATAGGTGAATATCAGAAAATGTTTACTGGGTGAATGAAGGGAAGACAGTAAAGTGCACGCAGAATATACAGAATGGGAAAGTTTCAGCTATGCCCTCCCAGAGTCAAGTTTGACTCACTCTTGACCATTCTTGACTCTAGACCTCTGTCCTTGGTATGTCCTTGGTAACCAAGCATGAGGGTAGTTCTATCTATGAACCTAAAATACCCACTTGGTGTTGCTAACCTATCTTGAGTCATTTCCGCAAAATGCCTTTCTTGGTCTAAGCATCCCTGGCCCAAGCACTTCTGACTCCTTAGCTATCTTATAGTGGTTTTTGATCTTCATACTACAGGCCGCTGTCTTTTATCTCTGGATCTAGCCATGAGCTGTAGATTTCACAGACCACTTATCTATTAGTCTGATATTTTATTAAGTCTTGTGCTCTTAAACATTTACATCTTTCTATATTTCCTGGAATGGGAGTCCCTAACAGGTCCAGATCTTTGTGATTCTCTTTGAACAGCTATTACTACAGTAACACAGATAGTGGTTATTTGGTGGTAATCACTCAGTAGATGGATTGAACAGATAGATTTCTGTTCTAGATAGAGTATACACTTTTTTACACCACCCACCACCCATTGCCATCCAGTTGGTTCTGACTCATGGCGACCCTGTAAGGACAGAGCAGAACTGCCGCATAGGGTTTCCAAGGCTGTAAATCCTTACGGAAGTAGACTGCCACATCTTTCTCCCGTGGAGCTGCTGGTGGGTTCAAACCGCCGACCTTCTGGTTAGCAGCTGAGTGCTTTAACCACTATGCCACCAGGGCTCCTTTTTACACTTTTTTTTAAACAGTGATGATAAAAGGGATGAGTTTTCTTCATGAGAGAGAGAACTCTGGTTTTAGATAAACGGCCTGAAAACAAATGTGATCACCAGAAACAGCGCTTCATTCTAGTATTAAATACCTTTATGCAGGCACGTGTATCTGCTGTCATGATATTTGATATAGAAAAAAAGAGCAATTACTTTTACATTAATGCCACTGTTATAAGAAAATTACCATTTTCGATTTTTGCATCCTCACTGCTAAAGCACTGTTCTGGAGGAAGGTGAGGAGATAATGACACCCTTGACTAACCAACCTCCATGATGATTCTGGTTGGCTAGCACTATCCCTTCAAAACTAAGAGCCCAGAAAAAGAAAATGGCCTCTGAAGTTTCTGAGGCAACTTCCCAAAAGTTATGGTAGAGAATGTGAAGAATTATTAATGAAAACCTTCACCCAAAGTTCCACTCAAACCCTTTGAGTAGAAAAGACTGGAATAGAGGGGGGTGCAGAATCACAGAAGAGGCTAAATGAGCATGATGCTAGATGGATTTTGTGTTGTAACTTCTTTCCACCCCCACCATTCCAAAAAAAAAAAAAAACCCTACTCTGGTGTAGGTCAGATCCTACCTGCAGCTCCTCAACTATCACATCATGTGCTCCCATGCTTGGTGATTGATCAATTGATTCTAAGAGCAGATTTTCTGCTTAGAAAATAGTCAAAAGTTGGGAACACAGGCAATAAAGTGTAACAGCAAAAGCATGGTCAGAAAGACCTGGTTTTGACTTCTTACTCCCCTGAGATCCTAGGCAAGTGACATGGGCCTTGGTTTTCTCATCTGTGACGGCAATAACATCTATGAGACAACTGTGAGAACTGTAGAACAGATGTATATATAAAGCACCTATCCAATGTGTGGCACAGTAGGTACTCAACAGATGGTAACTAGTTAAATTAATGGGAGCTACATTATCCTGGTGGTGTAGTGGTTAAGTGCTATGGCTGCTAACCAAAAGGTCGGCAGTTCGAATCCACCAGGCACTCCTTGGAAACTCTATGCAGCAATTCTACCCCGTCCTATAGGGTCCCTGTGAGTCAGAATCGACTCGATGGCAACAGGGATATTATTAATACAGTCCAAACCCGGAAGGAGATGGCTATGGTACTTTCTCTTTAAAATCTGAAGCTATCTGCTTTTAGAAGTCAATCGTAGTTTATGCAGTGTAGGGCAAAACTTTTTAATTTTTTTTTATTGTACTTTAGATGAAGGTTTACAGAACAGACTAGTTTCTCTACAACAGTTAGTACACATATTGTTTTATGACATCGGTTAACAACCCCACAACA